TTTAGTGGAATTGGACGGAATTCCTGGGAATTCCTACCGATTCCCACTAATTCCGCAATTGCGTGAACTACTTCTAATTACGGAATTACACGGAGTTCCCGGAATTGAACGGAATCGATTCCGGAGCGGAACTGGTTCCTGAAATGTTCAACATTGCGGAATAGGATGACTACTCATTAACTGAGGGTGTGGGTGTGGGTGTGGGTGTGGGTGTGGGTGTGGGTGTGGGTGTGGGTGTGGGTGTGGATATTCTATCCATTCCTCAGTCACACCCTTACAAAAATTATTGAATTCTTTTAATTTAGACTAAATCAGTTTACTTTGTTTATAGCTTATATCGTGTTAAGATATATTTTCTGGGTTAGAAATATCATCTATCTTCACCTTTAAATTAACATATTATACCGAACGTTTGTCATTAAATTTTAACTCAAAATAAAAATTCATTCAGAACTTCAACAGCTGTTATGTCATCGCTTTTTAAAATCCTGAATGAAATGTCTTAACTTAATAGTAGTTTTACTATATTAATTCTTTACTAAATTCAAAAATAAGTTTAAATTATGTCTTACAATTACACATATACGCAAAGAATCTTAATTTAAATAGTAATCAATCATCTTATAAATATTTCTTTCACTCTTTTCTCATTATATTTTATTGAAAAGCGTTTAATGTTTATCAAACCACTTTTTAAATTTTTTTGCAAAATCCTTCCAGTTGTCCCATTACTTAATGAAAAAAGAATCTTTATCTTGTTCCTTATTCTAATTAAAGAGTGCCGATAAACTGCATATTCACCATTTAGCGTTATAATAAGAGCAAATACACTCAGACTAGTATGTGCGTGTGCTATAAATGAGATCACATTAAATAGTTTCATTTGATTTATAAGTATTAATAAGCAACACTACATGAAAGATTGAAGCGTAGACTGATTATTGTATTTTAACACAGAGTATCATCTTGGACTGAGTGCTGATTAGCCTTATATGTTTTTCAATTTTCCAATTCATATCAATTAATTATGAAAAAATATAGTATTTTTGTTGTATAATTAATCAGTAGAAAAAAACTACAATTAAGAGCAAAGACAAGCGCTGACAAAATATAGTTTTCAGTAAATGTAATGAAACAAAAATTCAATTATTTTCTTCGAAGCTCAAGAGAAAAAGTGATAGAAATGCTTGTATGTTGATTGATTTTTTGTTTAAATCAAGTTCTTTTTGCGAATATGTGCAACTGTGATACATAATTTAAACTTACTTTTGAATGCAATAGAGAATTATTAAGTGGAACTCGTATTTAGTTAAGATACTTCCTATATGTTAATAATGAAATGTATGTAAGACTCTGATATAACTTAATATTTACTAATTCATTTTTTATATCAATCAAGATGCGCATAACCACTTCTTTTATTTAAAGCCATGTCTTTAATGCACTTTTTTTTGGATTGATGCACGTTTTGAAATAATAATACAGAGACACGCATCCATTTTGCGTTTAATGTTACATAGTAGGGCCTATGATTCATTTCAGCATAATTTCATCATAAAGAGGAAAAAATTGTGTATATGTTATTATGTTAAATGACAGTCTGTTGAAGAAAAATATTTCGCTCTAACACTCAAACAATATCCGCCTCTTTCTCTTCCCCCGAAGAAAAGTATTTTGCACAAAGACTTAAATAGCATCCGTCTTTTTCTCTCAAAGAAAAATTTTCAACAGCCAGCTCTCGACATTTATAAAGACGACGGCGCATACGTTGTTTTGAGTTTGATGACAAAGTTATTTTTCTTTCTACGACAAGAAATATTTTGTAATTGCTTTTTTTCCATATAACATATTTCTTTTCATTGATTTCGGTTTAATAGGAAGGACATAGTGAATTGATTGAAAATAATACTCTTCCTTGGTGAATTTTATTTCTTATTATAATGTTTCGACAACGATGTTGCTTTCATCAGACAATGAACAACACGGTAGAATGACTAGGATGCGTATACATTCTCAACGTATCCTTTTTCTCCTATTTTTCTTCTTTTTTTCTTTCTTTTCTTTTTTCATAGTGCGACGGCAGAAGAAAACAGTTAGTTACTTCTACCAATATTGTTGTCTTGCCGTTGCACTATCAAAAAAGAAAAGAAAGAACAAAAGAAAAAAAATAGGAGAAAAAGGATACGTAGAGAATATATACGCGTCCTAGTCATTCTATCGTGTTGTTCATTGTCTGATGACAGGAAAAAAACAATGTCGAAACGTCGCGATAAAAAAAAATAAAATCCACCATGAAAGAGTATTATTTTGAATCAATTCATATTTTTTTTCATGATGGAGTTCTCTTTATAGTGGATAGATTGTTGTTTTTTACGATTGTGTATTTCTCGAGTGACTCTTTTTTTATCATTTCTCTTGATTGCGTGATACGGTTTTATATGTTTCTTACCGTTAGATAAACTTGAACTTACATTCTATCCAGAGTGTATTTTCCTTCTCTAGCTAATGTTCCTTGAAAAGAGTCACAAACAATCGATTTCTTCACGAGCGAACGCGCTCATCTACATTGTTAGCTCTTTGTCGATATTTATCCACACTCCACTTTTGTTTTTGACTAAATCTCAGATCTATCTACTTTAAAGCTCATAATGTGAATCGTTTATCGCTCAAGCCGACGTACCGCATGCATATTGTTTATGCTTTTCATTACGTATTTAATAACATTCTGTAAGCATACAGTGAGAAATAAGCGTGATCAATCACTGTTGCAATTATTGGGCTTGTTCTCGTTTACGATAAACAATAACTCGAATGCATATAGATATTTTCAATCCTGTATTCTATGATATTAATCAAAAGCTTTTTTTTTGTATACCAGTAGTTATGAAACGGTACTTATTAGACATTAACCTTGCTTTCATTGAAATTCTAATAGAAGATGACGAATCTGGACGAAGATTTGAATTGATGCAATATCTTAATTATTTTTGCCTTTCAGATACAATCAGTTAATTTGAACATATTTCGGTGAAAATACAACGATAACTGATACTTATGTCGGAAAATCGTTTCGTAAACCGCACTCTCTCAGAGCTTCAAGAAGTCAATCGCAATCCAATATTTGGTTATGAAGATTCACCCATTCTGACATTAGAAGAAGCTGTGGAAAAATTAATTCCATTCGTTCCTGATGTCATAACAAAAGCTATGACAGCTAAAAATGAATGCAATCAACGTTCAAACTTGTTAACGCAAGATGAGTCGGCGGCCATATATCTTTACTCGATGCCATCATCTTTTTTTTCTTCTCTTAACACTACACTTCAAGCTGAAGATAGACATGCACTTAAACCATGGTTTTCTTACTTAAAATTGTTTATGACAGCTCTCAAGAAATTACCATCAACTAAGGCGGTTGTCTGGAGGGGCGTTCGTGGTGATGTCAGTTCAGTATTTGCTAACAATAATATCAATATTTGGTGGAGTGTGAATTCAACTTCGATGGATTTGACAGTTGTTAAACCATTTATAGGCGAACGAGGTACTTTGTTCGCTATTGAAGTTATGCATGGCAAAAACATCTCCAAATTTTCAGCATTTCCAAACGAGAAAGAAGTTATTTTAATGCCTGGAAGTTATGTACGAGCTAGAACTGAAACATTCGATTTCAAAGATTCTCTCTTCATCGTTCACTTAGAAGAAGTAACTTCTGAAAGGTTAGTCCATTTGAAAAGATAAATAAAATCTGTCGTATTCATTCGCCAATGAGAATATATTTAATGTGGTCATCCTGCAAAAATTCTCTACTATATAAGTATAACGATCGACACTGTCTCACCAGTTATTTTGTTCGATAAATAATTTAATGTCGAAACCTAAATATTGATAAGATGTACATATCGTAGAAAAATAAATTAATGCTGATAGTAATGCGTGCATATGAGTTTGTAAGTTAGAATATGGTTTCAGCTAGAGTGTTTACAATTCACATAATAACTACCTATAAGAAAATCTGCAAATTATTTCGAGCAATTTACGAACAACATCTATTTTTTGTTAATGAACCTTGACAAAGCTAAAGGTTCTTTCAAAAAGTGTATAAAAGTGCAAATAAATCTCATTATAGTACATGAAATATTAGTTTCTCTTTTATAAATCCTTTAATAAATTATTCGAGCTGATCGAAAATACATTAAACGAATTTGTCTTAAATAACCCTTGATGGAATATTCATTATTTTTTAAATGTTCTGTACGTTTTTTATAGTGAATCACAATCTGAGCCAAATCATTTATTTGAATGGATAAAACAAGAGTATAAACGAAATGGTTATATTGAACGTCTGATGAATCCAGCAAAATTCTATCCAATTGAAGAGAGTTATATAAATTTAGCCATCGTCGAAACCAAAAAACAACAACAAAAAGAAAAACAACTTCGTGATGCTTGTACTACCGATGATGT